ATTTATTTAGGGGCGCCTGGGTGGCGCAGTCGGTTAAGCGTCCGACTTCAACCAGGTCACGATCTCACGGTCCGTGAGTTCCAGCCCCGCGTCGGGCTCTGGACTGATGGCTCAGAGCCTGGAGCCTGTTTCCGATTCTGTGTCTCCCTCTCTCTCTGCCCCTCGCCCGTTCATGCTCTGTCTCTCTCTGTCCCAAAAATAAATAAACGTTGAAAAAAAAATTTAAAAAAAATAAAAATATTTATTTATTCAATAAAAGTATATCTTCGAGTTATCTGAAATAAATATCATAGATGCAATAAACTATATCATCAACTCAAGAATATGCTCCACACAAAAAAGTTACATTTAATTTGTTGAACTCTGTTAGCACATATTTATGAACATGATAGCAAGGTTAATTTTAGATATTTAAGTTTAATGAGTTTAATATTTACTTGTATCATGTGAATTTTTTAATTTATTACATTTAAAATTGGTTGAAATTTTTATAAATATCTGGAATTTTTATATAGTTTACAGCCAAATCAAATCATAAAAAATTAAAATATTAAATTATTTATGAAAAAATCTTATAAATCTTGTTTTGTTGTCTTCATCAATCTACCAAAAATTGTTTATGGAGCTGCTATAGATCTTGTAGGAATGAGACAATGCAAAAATGAAGAAATACTGGAATAAATAACCTATTCAGTAGAAAAGAATATACCTCATAACATACTTATCTTAAATACAGTTTTAAATAAAAACAAATTGACCAGATGGGAGTTTTTCATAAGGAATACTTTGGTTTCCTTTATACTGTACATAGTTGTCATTGTGTTTTTAAAACTATTAAATATTTTAAAAAGTGAATAAAACAGCTAGTTTTTATCTTTTGTGTGAAAAGTACTTTTTATTTAAATAAGACTTGGTTCTCAGTAGATATTATTATGTGCAAGATTATTTTGACATCTTCCATATATTTCAGTGAAAAACTACTGATTCTAATTTTGACATGTTCTGGTGTGCAATGTTATATTAGCTGTCTTAAATATAAGTTATCCTATATAACTATGATGAATAGATATCTTTTTTTAAATATGAAATTTATTGTCAAATTGATTTCCATACAACACCCAGTGCTCATCCCAACAGGTGCCCTCCTCAATGCCCATCACCCACTTTCCCCTCCCTCCCACCCCCCATCAACCCTCAGTTTATTCTCAGTTTTTAAGAGTCTCTTATGGTTTGGCTCCCTCCCTTTCTTTTTTTTCCCTTCCCCTCCCCCATGGTCATTGGTTAAGTTTCTCAGGATCCACATAAGAGTGAAAACATACAGTATCTGTCTTTCTCTGTATAACTTATTTCACTTAGCTTAACACTCTCCACTTCCATCCACGTTGCTACAAAAGGCCATATTTCATTCTTTCTCATTGCCAAGTAGTATTCCATTGTGTATAAGATGCTCAACGTCACTCCTCATCAGGGAAATACAAATCAAAACCACACTGAGATATGACCTCATGTCAGTCAGAGTGGCTAAAATGAACAAATCAGGAGACCATAGATGCTGGAGAAGATGTGGAGAAACAGGAACCCTCTTGCACTGTTGGTGGGAATGCAAACTGGTGCAGCCACTCTGGAAAACAGTGTGGATGTTTCTCAAAAAATTAAAAATAGATCTAGATATCTTTCTTAAATGAGTAAAACAAAGCAAACTTTTTGCATAGGTAAATTTTATATACAGCACATACAGATTCTGGAAATTCATCAAATGTATCACAATCAAATAATAATAGAAACATCCAGCATAAGATAGGATAAAATGGGAACTCTATAGGATCAGCTGTCCTTTGAACAATATTCAAACTGCATTCACTGTTTTGTAATATATTTCTATTATAATCCCAAACTTCAAATCAACTTTGCTTTATTCCAGCATCTTTGGAGAATTTCTCTACAGTAATTCCTGCCACAACTTCAGGTAAGTACTAATGGCATTTTTTTAAATGTAACTTGGGGGTGTCTAGGTGGCTCAGTTGGTTAAGCATTGGACTTCAGCTCAGGTCATGATCTCAAAGTCTGTGAGTTTGAGCCCCACATTGAGCTCCGTGCTGACAGAACAGAGCCTGCTTGGAATTCTCTCTTTCTTTGCCCTTCTCATGCTCTTTCTCTCAAAAATAAATAAATAAACAAACAAAGAAAATTATACACACACACACACACATATATATACACACATGTATGCATATATTGGTGGTCATCAAGCTCCATGACATTAGAAAAGGTTATTTTTAATAGCCCTTTCTAAGACGTTTATTCTTCATATTAAGAAGTGTACATTTGGTTAAGAACAATATAGTTCATAATATTGCAGAGTTCATAATACCTAGTTACACATACCAAGGGCATGCATCTTTAATTTCAATGTTCCTTTCATATTTTAAACTCTATTTACATATGGTGTATGTATGAGTGTATGTATGTGTGTGTGAGAGTGTGTGTGTATGTATGTGTAGCATTCTAAAATGTGGCTCTAATCTTACAGGCTTGGAGATGAATCCCTAACATTTATAAGATCACTAGGAATAAAGAAAACAGCATTTAAAAGAGAAACAAATGATGACTTTCAGAATATATTGCATTCTTGAGAAAGGAAAATCCAAAGCTTAATGTTACCTTTGCTCTGTTCCAGCATTTCATTTTCTTACTCCATCTTTCTAACTATAATTGATTGCTACTGCTCATAAAATTCAGAACTTCACTTTGTCTCACCAAGATCATACCACTATCAAAAGAGTTTGCTTTGAGAAATTGTTAATAATTCTAAAATTAACCTAGCTGATCTTATAATGTAAAATTATTATGTTGTAGAAAAATTATTTAAATCAAATTCAGGAGATTTAAACATCAATCCTGGCTCTGCCAATTACCAGAATCACTGGACACATCTCTTTACCTCTCTGAAAATCTACTGCCCATAAATTGCAGATAATAAAATTGTTCTGAATATTTCAAAGTCATCCCAAATATCAAATTTATACATAAATGATTTTTAAAGTATAAATTGTTATAGAAACTATAAATATATTACTTTCAGTATTATCTATTATCGTGACCATTTTTATAATATTTGAAAGATCTACATTTTTTAAAAGTGTCTTCTTGGGCCAGGTAGTATATTTTACCAGCATTGCCTCATTTATTCCTCAGAATGATCCTTTAGAGAAGTAATATTTTTTTCCACTTAAAAAGAAATAAATAATAAACAATGTGCCCAGAGTCACATAGCTACTAAGTGTCAAACTGAGGAATTAAAAGCAATTCCTTTGGACCTCAAAGCCCATGGTCTAAGCATATCTCAAGCTTCTGCTTCACATAACATCATATTAACCTAGAAAATTTAAGTCTAATATCATTAAGATATTAATGAATCCTTGTGTTTGGTTATTGATCATTGAATAACATCTTCTCTACTTAGAAAATAAAAGATGACTTAAAATCTAAATACCTCTGCTCTACAATTCTAAAAACCAATGGAAACATAAAAGACTTATTCTTGGATCCAGATACAAATGACATTTTCTTAAGTTAATAGATAATCGTAATTCACAGTAACTTTAAAAACTCTCAGGTTAAATATTAAACACAGAGAATACACAATAAATTCTTAATAATCAGCTTAAAAAGGCAATAATTATCTTAACACCATTTCTTTTTATAGGCAGGCTAACAACCGGCTGTCCTCTGGCAACTCCAGGTCAGTAAGTCATTTTATTTATACCTTTTTAAAAAGTTTTTACTTGTTGTGTTTTAGGCTCTTGAGAATTCTCTGCTAACACAGCAGTTAATGTTACTCTTATTTTATGAATAATAAAATTGCGGCATAAAAGTGTGCAGCTTTAGCCTAAGATTTCACCAAAAGTGAGCAATAATTTAAGGCTTATGCTTGGATTATCTGACCTCACGCTAGTCCTCCATTAGAACTCTGGTTATTATCGGACACTAAGAATGCCACCAATAGGATCAAAATGCTTTCTAGAGGGATGTAGGTTTCATCAGATGTGAGGGATTTTTCTTCTTTGATTGTTCTGTCTCCATACAAAGTAGAAATGCTAGCTCTCTCAACACAATCCAGGTTGCCAAACCAACACCAAAATAACTTTAGGTTCATTCATTCAACACATTTTCAGTAAGTGGCTATCTTGTGCTAACTCTGAATATGTACCTTTGATGTGCCCATTTATCTGCATTCCTGGTAATTGTTTACTGTGTCTATTTGTCAACTAAAGTGCCTTCTCAGGTCCCAACTTAATCTTCATGTTGAATGGCCTGGGTGTGTCCCTTACCTTTCAGATAAACTCCAAAAAGGAAATATTGTACATATCTTCAGCTCCTAAGGTAATACTGTCATTTTTATGTCATTAGAATTCATATCATGTTATATACATGCAAAGAAAGAATATTTGTAAAACTATAAATGCCCTTTTGAGTAAGACTTAATAATTGTTGAGTAAACTTGTTGACATGATGTTTGAAAAGCAAAGCAATACATGAATCATTAATCAAAATCCTTTATGAGCCAATCCATCACACCTCAAAATCCACAGAGATTGTTTACAGTAGGAAAAGGCTGCCTGGAGTTGTATTTAGGTGTGAACCCATAGAGCAATACAGCTTACTAAAATATAAAGTTGTTCTTTATCACACAATCTCTTTTCCAATGTGGAAGACTATTTACAGCATTTAAAACAACCTTACAATACACTTTCAAACAAATGCTTTTAGGATTAATAATGGTTAATTCCTTTAGCCTAAAAATAAGCTGAAAAAGTAAATTTAGTATATTTTGAGAAATATCTTTCTTTGTATTTTTTTTTTTAAATTTTTTAACATTTACTCATTTTTGAGAGAGAGAGAGCATGAGCAGGTGAGTGGCAAAGAGAGAAAAAAGGGAGACACAAAACTCAAAGCAGTCTCCAGGCTCCTAGCTGTCAGCACAGAGCCCAACGAGGGGCCCGAACCCACAAACTGCAAGATCATGACCTGAGCCGAAGTTGGACACCCAACTGACTGAGCCACCCAGGCACCCCTGAGAAATATCTTTCTAAAACTTTGAAAGTCAGCAACAAATAACCAAATTTGTGCCAGTTTTCTATTTGCCTATTGGTTTACTGAGTGATTCCTATAAACCATAGTATGAGGACATCTTAGGTGTTTTAAAATGCCTTAAAAGAAATGTGTGGAGGGGCGCCTGGGTGGCGCAGTCGGTTAAGCGTCCGACTTCAACCAGGTCACGATCTCGCGGTCCGTGAGTTCGAGCCCCGCGTCAGGCTCTGGGCTGATGGCTCAGAGCCTGGAGCCTGTTTCCGATTCTGTGTCTCCCTCTCTCTCTGCCCCTCCCCCGTTCATGCTCTGTCTCTCTCTGACCCAAAAATAAATAAATTTTGGAAAAAAAAAATTAAAAAAAAAAAAAAAAAGAAATGTGTGGAAAAAAATCCATGTTAGAGCAAGAAAGCCTTGGACTTAATGTAAGTGTTTCTCCCCTCCTATCCTGAGGACAAACTTGTCAAAAATACAAGAAGAGGTTGAACTCTGTGATCAGTTTTCTCTGTCCAGAGGAGATGGTGAACGGGGGACACAAAGATCATGGGAGTGATACTTCCCTCATACCCTTCTTTCCTGGGAAGTGAAGCAAAAATCTCCTTTCCCACATGTAAGCTACAGGGATGGGATCAATATACATTTAGTCCTATCTTTCACACTTTAGGCATTGGATATTTAAAATGAAGACCAAAAAAAACAGCATACAATCATTGAAAAGGCATAGCCAAGTCCATCATTAACTAATTGCACCAATCACTATATGTGGTGTTCAACAAGCTACCTAGTCTTTATTTTTTTAATTTTAGACTAACATACATATCTGAGAGAACAATCATGAGAATTAAAAGAGAGATAACACCGATAACACCGCACTGTCTCAATTCATGACTGATGCAAAGTTAGATTCCTTCTCCCTTTCCCCTTCTGAGTTAAACAGGAAAAAAAAAAAAAAGAGTTGCAATACTTTTTTTAGAAATATTTCAAAAACTAAACTAAGGTTAAAACAAGATCATTGTACCTGGTAATGTTCATTTAATCTGATCTTTTATTTGACTAAAAGAACTCCATTTCCAAAGCTTTCTTATTATTGGAAACTGTATCGAATTACTTTAATCAATCCTCAAAGAATCATACTAAGGTAAGGAAGTGGGAACATCTTATATTCCCTTTTTTACTGGATCCATGAGTCCCCAGTCATCCATTCCATTTGTGCCTCTCATACTGCGAGATGCTATCGATTTATAGAGGGAACGAGGCAATTACACTTGAAAACCACAGTTTCCAAGCAGTAATTTATTATGAATATGCCTTTCAGGGATGTTAAGTTTATTCTCATCTTTATGTGCCTGGAAGACAGAGTTTGAGAAAAATCAACAAATGCATGCATCATATACCCGGCATTAGTGCTATTATAAATTCTGCCAAAGAGAATTTTTGTATGATAGCGAGTACAAAGTCCATGAGGATTATGTCCTATTGTTCAACTGCCTTTGTTGCCAATTACTGTAAAGTTTTATTAACCCATTTGGAACACTGGAGGAGGGAGATGGGAACTGGGATTGAATTCCACTGATTGATTTCTTGGCTGCTACAGCCAAGAGGGGCTATTCTGGGCGATTGTTCAAATGCTTGAAGGATTTCTAGAATATAGCTTGTTCTAGTCTTTTGTTGCTTACTACGTAGGCAATGATTGCAGAAAAACAAAAGTTTCACTATTTTGGACTTTCTCCGTTTCATACAAAATGCAATCTTGCTCCAATACTACTATGTGGAGGGGATTGGGGATTGGAAGAAAAGAATTGGCTGATTTAGTAAAGAACATGAAATTGGGTCAAGAGAAGCTAAGGTAGAATTACACTCTTCAGTTGAATTGCCCAAGGACTAAGACACAGGGACTTTATCCAACACCAAATGGAACTTTAAGTATTTTTCTTTCTCTGCATTTGAGAGAACAGCATGTATATTGCTAAGCACACTCCTAAAACATCCCTTTGCATATGACACCAGAACTGTTAAAGTATTTTTCCACTGTAATTTTACTTGGATTGACCAGCCATGGTCTTGCTAAAAAGATGACATTAGTTATATCGAAGTTGAAAAGAATTTCTGTAAGGGGATATCTATTTTGCCAATACAGTGTAGAGAAATAAACTTAGTCTCTAAAGGCAGGCATACATGGATTCAGACTCCACTTTCACTGCTAAGTATGTTATAAGGGCCTTGAGCTGAACTTGTCTCAAACAGTTTTGTCCACCAAGAATTATTATCTCCATTTAAGTAACAGGAAAAATAAAAATCCAAGATTTCCAAAACATGATTTAAAAATTATTATCTTGTAGGTAACACTCCTTGTAACTGGTTTGAAAAACAAAATAAATGGATTTCTGTCTTCTTATCCTCTACCTGCCTAGTACAGGGCCTGCACAAAGTAAGCACAGGAGATTCCTCACCACAAATCACTGAAAATTGTTGTGGCTTTGGATTATTCTGGAGTTATCACATTCGGTTTATACTGAATCCTTCATGGTACAAATATAAATGGACAATTAAAACCTTCCATTTGCAGAATCCTAAATAATACTAATTAATAGGTAGGTTCTTACAAAATGCCAAAAGAAAAATATTATGTCAATGATAAAATACCATATAGATATGAAAATGCATGCACACTTTTTTTGCCCACTCAAGATAAGAGTAATTAATATTCAGGTAATTTGTTCACCTTCTAGTAAACAGAGCCAATTATTATTCTCTCTGTGCACATTTCTTTAAATATAGTTATTTAACTCCTTTCCTAGAAATTCCCTATTGAGAAGTACAGTACAGACTTCTTAGAAGAGAAATACCAGAGCAAAATATTGTGAAATGAAATGGCAAACAAAGTAGTACACAAATTGAAGAACTCTAGTTTTAAGAATGGAAGGTCATTTTTAAAAACTGGCTAATTTCTGTGAAAGTTAATGTTGTAGTGAATAGTTTTGTTGGAAATTATCATCATATATGTGTATACAAGGAGATGAAAGAAAGACAGAACACAAGGTAAAAATACAATCTGATAAAATCTCCAAATGTTCCATCCTTATGTAACAATTATATTTATATTTTCTATATCGGTTTTGATATGAAGAACTTCTCTTTCTTCATGGACAAAGGCAGCTGAAAGGTGCTTGTGAAACAGAGTCTGGGAAAATAGAGTACAACCCAAACTAGAGTACCTAATATTTCCACCTTCAAATCAAAATACTTCAAATTAGAATCATTTTCTAATCCCCCCAGGGGTTCCTCTTACAATTACTGTGGTGACTAATGACCATGAATAATTCAATGGGCCACTCCAAAAGTGTCTTTTTTTCCACCTCTCCAGTCAGGAGCACATCTAGTCACCAAAATTCATCTATTCCACTTGTAAAATAGCAATTGTACTCTCCTCTACCAGGGCCAAGTTGCTACCCTTATCCACTAGTAGGAGCTCGTCGGAGTTCCAATCCTTAACCACTTTCACCTTGACCATAAAAACAGCTTCTCAGTTGGCCTCCTTACTCTACTTGATTTTCCACTTGGTCCCAGGGTTGCCTTAATGACACATGGACTGACTATACCACACATATGCAAAAAATTTCAGAAAAAATATTTCCGTCATTTAACAAAAATTAAAGAAAACTCTTTTAGACTTGACACCAAACTCCCTTCCTGCCATGGCCTTCACAAATATCGAGATAAGTTTAGACTTACCTGTGTTCCATATATTGATGTGTTTTGTCACATCACCATGTATGCATTCCATATTTCCCTCTCCCTGGTACATTTCTAAGAATCCTTTAAAACCTAGTTTATATGAAGATGTTTTCAGTTTCTGACTCAAAAGGAAAATAATTGCCTAACCCTTGGTGCTCCCATTGCACTTTTTTATACCTCTTTAAAAAAAAAAAAAGTTAATGAACTAGTTTTTCACTAAAGTCCAAGCTTCATGAGAATAGAGGCTATGTCTTAGTCATCCTTTTATCTCCATTCCTTAAAAATTTTTGACCTAAATAAATAAACAATAAATACTTGTGTAGTGAATAAATGATCATTAATAAGATCAAAAGATCCCAGTTGTTATCACTTGCAAGTGTGGCTTTGATGCTCGATCTATAGAGTTCAGTAAGCCACAGACAGACATGTGAATCATCATGAAGTTCCCATGAGAAGCATTAGGACAGACAAAATTATACATCTTCTTAGCTGTATTCCTCAATTGCTCCTTTAAATGCTAAATACTTAGAATTCTATTAACTACTGTTAAAATTATATATAGATTTCCTAGAATAATGCTTTTTTGTTATTTAGCAAGCATTTATGGAATACTATCAATGCTATGCCTTTCTTAGATTAGGGATTCAATGACTAAGGACTCTTATGTAAGTATCTCATATATATCAACAGTTGTAATATGCTTTTGGGCTTATTCAATACCCTGTTTACCATTTTTTTATTCCCTTAAATGGGGGTGCTCTGTCCTTTACAATGGCTGTGATCTTTATCGTGTCCTGTTTTAGATGTTAGGTGATCGATCCATGAATTTCCCACTGGTTTATATTCATTTTAATTAGAGCCAATTACAAAAGTCTAATTTAGTTGAATATATCCCCAGCAATACTGTCCATAAATGTCCCAAATTAGGTATTACCTTAGTAGATTAATTGACACATGCACTTTCATTTTCTCAATTAATTTTGTGGAACACAAGGAGAAATTTCAGAATCAAATATATTTTTAAAACCCAGCAGATGGCAGTGCAGTGCAGAATATTCCATTTTTAAGTATCGCACTTAATTTTTCCAAGTTAATTTCTAGAAGTAAAATGTGTTTCTTGATCCATGCCTGCATGTAGGCATATGGAAGAGGAGCAGGTGAAGCACAAGACAGGCTGAGGATAGCAAATGGATCGGATTCTGGTCAGAGAATGGCATAGAATTCTTCAGGGCAATGTTTGTATCTTTCCCACTAAGAATCTCTGACTCAAGAAGCAAAGAAATACTGAATGGAAATAGCGATTGGGTTTATTCATTGCTCAATGTAGCCATGTACTGGGAATTTTAAGTGTTTTATTCTACTATAAAATGGCCATCACCAACAAATTTTGTTCTGCAGAATGTAAACGTTACTTCAGCCCCCATATTTTCAAATAATAAGTTTATAAGTAAATGAAGTGGTTACTGGATACTGCAGATAATGTGAAAAACATTCCAACAAATTGCCCCGTAGAACACGTATAAACAATCGTAGGAGGTGTAATCATTAGGAGCTAAATGTCCAAACTATAGTATTAATTTATCAAGGTTAAAATCAAGAAATTAAACATTCATATTCAACATCTATGAAGGAATATATATCTTCTTTTCCAAATTTAAAATTCTAAGCTTCTTTTACAAATGACTAATTAATTAAATGAAATGAATATTTACTTTGGAAATTGAAATACATGCTCTGAGTAAAGACCTAAATGACAAAAAAATACGTAATAAATATCCAAACGTTGTACATATGGTTGGTAATTAAATGTACTATGCAAGAAATTTACAAATTCAATCTTTTTTTTCTAAAGGAAATGTCTCAATAGAATGCCTGCCTGGTTCTAGTCCTTGTGCTGATGCTCTAAAGTGCATAGCAAATGATTTATTTTGTGATGGAGAAATTAACTGTCCAGATGGCTCTGATGAAGACAATGACACTTGTGGTAAGTAATGTCCCCCACATTTTCTCACCCCACTGCTTTTTCATCCTCCCTCACTGTGTACACACAAACACATATCCCTCAGATACCAGAAACTACTGGAGAAAGAGATATTCCAATACACATGATTATAATTTAATACAAAATCTAAAAAAATAATTATATTAATATTTTTCTAATCTATTTTATGCAATATTAGACACTGATTAAGTGGAATTCTATTTGATGTTTATGGATACAATGCTGTGATTAATGTCTGTCATAAATGAGGGAAGAGAATGTCATTGTTTCTCATCCTTTAATAAACTACTCCAAACTATTATGAATTTGAATGCACTTTCATGTTTTTTTAGCATTACACCATAATATCCATCTTTTGTGTGTGTGTGATTTCAATGGCTTCTAACTCAGTAATTGCTGCTCCTTAATTTTGATTGTTGCTTTTATTTGATCTTTGACATGGAGACAAGAAAAAATGTACTTGAGTTGTAGTTCTATGAATAATAGAAACAGTTATGAATAAGATCTTGTCTTATGAATAAAACATCCATGTTTTATTTGTAAACTTTGGCATCTGTTTTAAGTGTTGTTATTATTATTATTATTATTATTATTATTATTATTATACACTTAAGTAGTACTTACTATATGCCAAGCATGACTCTAACTGATTTAAACATATTTACTTTTTGACTTATTTCATTTGATAGTTGTGCAGCATATATATGAAAGATTATCACATAACTACAAATATAGATTGATAAGCAAGGTGAAGAATTATAGGAACAATTCTAATTTATAATTTTTTTCTTAAACAATTAAACAGAAAGCATGAATTGAACACATCTGTGTTGTGGTTTATAATCAGTCTTAAAATTGACCATGAGCACAATTAGTTCCTGAAATGTACAAAGGTTGTAGTTACAACTTTCTACACTTGCTCTTCTTTTATTTGTTGCATTTTGTGCTTCTTGTATGACATTAATTGAAGATGAGTGCTCCAAAAACAACCAAAGCTTAAAAAGTTACCTATCCACTCGGTACTCACTTTAAAAGACAGGCAGTTGGCCTGTTTTCCAGGAGCGACTCAAAAAAAAGGCAACTTGACTAAAGAGGCTTCTACTAAGCAATCCCAATTCAAATGTTCTTTGATAAAATTCAAACCTTCAAAGTTTAACTACATACTTTGAAGTGCACTCAGAGCATATTGGAAGAAAGTGCAGGCTACAGAATATTTTTTAATCTATTTTATATAACTAAGTTACTCAAAGAAGAAGAAAGCAACATTCTTTTTTTGCTATGGTTTCCAGGCAGTTTCCAAAAGCTTTTCAGGGAGAATATGATACAAGTGTGCCATCATGAGGTAACAAAGGTGATGTTTCTTAATATTTCAAAAAGAATAATGAATGCCAAAGTTAGACACATAGCTTTAAGCCTATATAATGATAATTGATAAACTTAAGTAGAGGGAAATATGTAAGATGAGTTCAATAATCAGAAAATGTACTACGCCTATTATTATTTGGTCTTCAATGTCATGGAGTTAATAATGTTCATGGTAAAGTAATGTCAGTGCATCTCCAAAAATAACCGTGGAAGTATCATGTTAGTGTAACAATTTGTCCTAAAATAAGTTACAAGGTCATGAATTCTTTTTTCCAAGTCACTATAAATTAATGGCATGAGCCTTGGCATTAGAACTGAATTAATTCTTTAAATTTGCCTTAAGTACATATCAGACTGCATTTTTAGTTTTCAACGTCATGGAGGTTTTGTGTTAAGTGAACTTTAGTATCAACAAACCATCCATGTCACTAACTTTCTTAAGTCTCTAGATGCTCATTTTTCATTTTTATTGGCTCTCTTCGCTATTTGATTTTTAAAATTAGCATTATATTTATCTTGGAAAACAAATTTAAAGCCTTTGTGGAATAAATGTGGACTAATCAATCAGTTAATCTATCCTTATCCAGCTAGGATTCAGGCCTATAAGTTGTTTTGTTCATCATTCATCCTTAATGATGGTGAGCCCAAAAGCCTAGTGCACTTCACCTCAGCACCAACCTGATCATCTAATAGCATAATTTCTATGTGAAAGCTTGTGTCCATCAATCTACATTCCCGAAAAATTAATTTAAGAGAATTCTCTCTCTATGAAATTGACCCTTGTGCACTCTCTCTCTCTTTCTTTTTTCTCCAGCTGTGAGCTCTAATTCTAGTATGTGTTATTAATAGAGTCACATTAATGTTGACTTCCTCACATAGCTTCCTTTTTTAGTCTTTAGTTATTTAGGTCTTATGCAACTTATAGCTGACTGTAGCTGAACCAAGAGTTTTTAAAATTGTTTTTCTCTTCTGATTAGAATGGAATCAGCAGGAAAGTTCGCTTTTTAGCTGACCTATGAGAAGGAAAGATGCTGACTCACAGCCTTTAGACCAATGTTCAGACCTATTTGGAAGTTGTCAACCGTCTCTATAGATTGTTTGCATGCCTCTGTATGTGTGCACAATAGACCTCGGTGGATGGGCATAGATCATGTTTGTTTTATATATCCTGGAGAGTTCAGTGCCCTATGCAAGCGCACAACTAGTAAATATTCAGCCAGCAGAGGGAGCTCTCAGTAGGTTCTGAGAGCATAACTTTCAGGAATCCCCTCCCATTACAGGCACCTTTCAGAGAGCTCAGTAAATGCCTGATATTATTTGACAGGCTCATTTATCTCCCACTCAGGATTTTTTTTTCATGCTGCACCGTAAAGCACTATGCAGTCTAAAAAGTCATAATCCTGAACACCAGTTATCATACTTATCCATGGCTGGGTTACATCTATTTTGCTGAAAGATTGTCTTGTGTAATATTAGGTTCTCCAGAAACATCCTGAAATTAAATGAAAGAATGTATGAGAAGGCCCCTAGAACAAGTCGACACCTTGAAATAATAATATTTTGGCATTCTGAACATTTCTATTATAAGTACCTCAATACTATCGTGGTTTTTGGTTTTTTTTTTTTAAATGCTTTCAGAATATGCTTCTTAAGAATACTCTTAACAGTCACATGCAAGAATTCATCAATGACCCTTTAGACCAGAACTGGATGTGCAGATTGCCCATTCCTACCGAAAGTCAGCAAATTCATAGCACACTGGAAAAATTGATCATATTTCTAAGGATAGGCTAAGTACTATGGTAAACAATCTTCGCAATTTAAGATAGTAACAGTTTATTTATCACATCCTGATCCAAGGGGTTGCCCTCTGTGTAGGCATCCAGGAAACCAGCTCCTTTCTCATCCCCTCTGTCTCTTGTCCTCCCCTGGATCCTTTGCAACCCACTGACAGACAAGGAAGACTGTCTCAGAAGATCTTTTTAGGAATCACATCTGGAAATAAACATAATGAGTTCCGCAACAGTTTCATGGCCAGGATCTGTCACATGGCCCATTATTGGAAGTGCAGCCTAGTGATGGACCCAGAAGGGACTGAAAAAGGGTGTGACAAACCTACAACTATCCTGCCACCAGGGACATAACTCAGGTTGTTGGAAAACTTTGAATTTTGTTGTACAACACAGAGCCGCTGATCCACCTCCCAAAAGTGTAGTGAATGGGTATGCAGAAGTGAAGAATTCCTAAAATGTTTCCAGATTTGCGAGTTGGTTTTATAAATTCTTAAGCCAGAAGGAAAATTCCCTTTTCCTTCTATCTTTTTTGCTTCTTTCTATTTGTCATAGAATTCTATTGCAATGTGCCCTATTTTAATTTTAAGAACAGTGAAAATGATGGAATTTTTTTTAAAAATCCTGTTTCTTCTCTTATTTACAGTTCTGCACACACATGCCCCCCCTTTTAAGTTCAAAGAGTAAATGATAACATCAACATAGCTGTATATATTGAGGTATCAGGTAGTATACCCCTGTATGCTCAGGAGTAAGAATGCCTGGCTTTGAATTGTCACTAATAATCTGGGAAAACTTTTGCCAGTTACTTAACCCCTCTGTGCCTCACTTTTCCCACCCATAACTTTGTAAGGTTGTTGTGAAGATCACATTAATACATACATAACACCTTTACAATAGTGGCTGGCACATAGTAAATACTCCACCAATTATAGCAGTTACATTTTAGGACTGTCAAGATTGATTGCTCATCAAATATAAACTATTTAAAATAACAGTGGACTTGCTTGCACTGCCTGTAATCTTGAAGTCCATATGCTTTTTTGACAAAGTGATTGGAAGGCTCCATATATCACCTAAAATATAAGCAGGCACTATTTTCACTTTTCTAGTCATTGAAGCTAAGGGATTAATTGTCCCATTTATTTGGCATGGTTTGCAGAGAGTTGAGGGTGAATGAGACGTTTCCTTTTACAACTAGAAAATTACTTAAATCTGCATTAAATAATCAGATATTTTGCTGTTTATTTTCAAATCATACAAATTATCCTTAATCATCTTTATTTGCTCCAGTAAGAATTACACATAAGGAGATTCAGTTCTCTCAACAAGTCACAGTACTCTGCATTTCCTTTCCCAGATCTCCGAAGATTTTTCAGTGCTTAATGCTTCTATCTTAGATTATCTTTTCAGTTCTCCAAGTTTGTTGCTTATTTGTTGTTTTGTTTTTTGTCTTCAGCTAGGAGTCAGGTTATCAAGTTATAATCCAATGCAATTAATTCCTAGCTCATTGTTTTTAAACAGACTGAGTCTTACAATTTACAATCTTACACTCTTACAATCATAAAGTGATTTCTTATGCTTTTAAAAAAATACCAAAAATAGCAAAAAGCCAACCAAAAGCAAGAGAGTTCTGCCAAGATTTCTATATGTTGTTTAACTTGTCAATTGTTTCCTTTGTCCATATAAAATATTTGTTGTCCTATAATAGCTTGTATTTAATTACTTGACAGAAATGTTGTATAATGTTACAATGAGATTTTCCACCCATTAGCTTATTCTAAGTCTCACGTTCTAAGAGCAGCAATTTAATTTTAGTAATTTTTTTTAATCTCCCTATCCTCCATTCTTCTGGCCTATAAGGAATTAACAACCTACCAAGAGAAAAAGGACACATTCTAGGAGTAATTATTTTAAAATGTAGTATCAAGAGTATTAGGTAAAAAGTATATAGAAAATAATCTAAGAAAAATTAAAGATTGTGAAAAAATGGCTTTTATTTTTTAACACATAGTATGCATTGTAACTGTAAGGGGAACACAAAAGTTAGTGAGGTATGGTTCCTGGTTTATGCCTTCAGTAAGATTTTAAACTAGCTGGAAATGATTCAGATATAAGTTAAAGACAACTAATAACACGAGACATCAAAGAGAGTATATGAAGTAAATATGCTACAAGAATTAAAAGAAGAAAATGAGTAGTCATGAAATGCAGAAGACATATTCAGGAATATTGAATGACAATATTGAGATAGCAAATTCATACAAAAGAAGCAAGAAGTTTAAAAGATGGGTGGAATAGATCAGATGGATGGAATTTGCTACAGGCCACTGGCACCACATATATCATTTGCCTGGCCATATTGTGATCATTTTCAGGAGGACATAGCACAGAATGCATATATTTAAAATTCACCCTCCCTCCAATTTAATCAGGAAAATAAGACCAAAAAATAGTAGCTATTTGTCTAAATTAGGAGTTTATAATTCAAATATATTTATTTCCTTAAAAATGTGAAAAAATAGGGGCACCTGGGTGGCTCAGTTGGTTAAGTGTCCTACTTGGGCTCAGGTCATGATCTTGCAGTTTGGGAGTTCGAGTCCCACATCAGGATCTGTGCTAACAACTCAGAACAGGAAGCCTGCTTCGGATTCTGTGTCTCTCCTCTCTCTGCCTCTCCCATGCACTGCTCTGTCTCTCTCTATCTCTCAATAATAAATAAACATTAAATAAATTTTTTGAAAGGTACTCACTTTAAAAAAAAATGTGACAAATACTAAAAATGCAGTTTAGGTATGAGCATTTAGAAGTAAAATGCTTTTCTAAAGGAATCTATGGTGAGTTATGAGCAAGTATATGAAAATTGGCAACAGATTTTAAACATGAGATCTGATCTACTCCTATTGGATCATTTCAGTCATACAGATTCAGTCATAACTGTTCTGTGAAGGGTTCATTAGCCAATGTGAATCCCATTTCACTTGATAAAACTTTCCAGGACTGTTTTTTGTCTAACACGACTTCTCATTTTTTTTCCACAGCCACAGTTTGTGATGGCAGGTTTTTGTTGACTGGAACTTCTGGGTCCTTCCAGGCTGTTCATTACCCAAAGCCTTCTAAATCAAGTGTTGTTTGCCAGTGGATTATACGGTAATATATCATTTTCTATTCCCTGTTGTTAAGTCATAAAGTCTTTCCCTGATACAATAAGTCTTACCACCTATTGTAGTCTATTTTTTAACAATCATTTTCACTGGCTATGAAGCAGTCTTCCCAACTGATAACCTGTCCTAGAAGTTTCTCTCTCATTCTTCAAAAAGGTGTTCTATCCTATGGGTAATACTGTCTAATTAATGGGGCCATCGTAGGATTCTGTGGCAAACTTTCCCCCCCTTATGATTGGCACAAATCAAGGGTTGCCAAAGTGAACAGCACACATTTACATCTATATACTGCAATATATAATATTTCCCATTACTTGCATCCTGGCCACCAAGGATTCTTTTCTCATTATGCCAGCATCTATATGAAAATGTCCTCTGATGTGATTTAGTCATGGCAGATTAAGAGTTGGGGACACCCTCTATACACATCCTACTAGACAATAGTAGCTAGATCTTGAATAACACTAAGATCAGTTAGCATGTCAAATACATGATATTGACCTCCAAGCTCTTAATTCAATCCACTAATTCAATCATTATGATGATCCAAATAATTAAACTGCTGAAGACTGATTGACCTCAATGTTTATCTAAGCATTTTGCACACAGGAGCAGTATCTGATGTTCCTCCCAGATTCCAAAGGAAAATAATTTGTACTCAAATAAATAAAAGCAAAGCTGAAATAAACTCATTATAACTTTTTAAGTTCAGTTTAAATAAGTTAATGAGCAATATAAATTAAAAAAAAATCATCTTAAGCCACTGATCGTTTTTCTCCACAGAGCATGAAGAATAAACATTCTCTGGAATTCACTTTGATAAATGACATTCTAGTTAGTTCATTTCTCTTAACAGCTGGGTAGGACTGTGGTTTCCCGATCCAACTTGCTGTATAATAGTTTTAATCATTGTCATGACTCACTAGAAAACTAGGAGAATCAACATTACTACTGATTAAAGAAGGTTATAAGGCAATGCCAAACACATTCTTGCCAACCATGTATGATAGAAAATGGTTCCATAAAGATTCACAGTGTTGTTTCCTTGTGTAGACATACCCCAGAGATAAGATGGGATATGAAGGGAAATTCGTATTTCCCTTCAAATTCATGAAGGGAAGAAGAACATTCTGTTCTCTTTAAATAATTTCTATTTTGGAGTTCAGCCACATGTAAGATATGTTTTCATGCTCTAGACAACATGTTACTTGTATGCCAAAGATAAGATTTTGTATTCAAAATGACAGCTCACTTGTCAAGTGAAGAATTAACCAATTTGGGGGATATTGTTTCTAATAGAATCAGATCAAATTTAAAAAGAAGCATTTATAGGGGCGCCTGGGTGGCGCAGTCGGTTAAGCGTCCGACTTCAGCCAGGTCACGATCTCGCGGTCCGTGAGTTCGAGCCCCGCGTCAGGCTCTGGGCTGATGGCTCAGAGCCTGGAGCCTGTTTCCGATTCTGTGTCTCCCTCTCTCTCTGCCCCTCCCCCGTTCATGCTCTGTCTCTCTCTGTCCCAAAAATAAATAAATACGTTGAAAAAAAAAATTTTTTAAAAGAAGCATTTATAAATGGCTATTAGCATTGATTACAAGTAAAATGAAAAATATTCTATTCCTTACTTAAAATGTCAGCAGAAAGGTTTAGAAAAATCTTAAATTACTTTCTCTGAAAATGGAAAGAACATGAATCCTAAATTATTTCTTCATGCAATCTTTGAAATTTTATTCACACCAAATAAATATAATTTAATTGTTAAATTTAATTGTTAAATGCTTAATAAAACTGGATCAAACTTGTAGGAGAGTTTATAAGGAGAACCCAACAAACTTTTGCCATAGTAGTAATATCATTTATGTAACAATCAAACTATGTTAATTAAGGATTTGTATGGTTCTATTCTTTTTTACTTTTTTTCCATTACTTATTTTTTAAAACCATTTTTAAGAAATACACCGTTAGTGCAGCAATGATTTCCAAACCCCAAAGGACCTAAAATGTTACCCTAAACACTGCACTTCAAGATGAAATCATGAATTAATTAATCATATAAACAACCTAAGTATTTTGTTTTTCTTCTTGAAACTGGTTACTACAATGGTGATACATTGTCTTTGATAGTTTGTTTTTCCTAATTATGATCAAAGGGGGTCATAAAGATAATCATGTTTCCTATAAGCTTGAAGACCATTAAATGGTGGAGAAATGTTTAAGATGCAATTAAACTATATTTTAGTCTAGACCAGCCCATCGTTGGAATTATATTAAAACTACATTTAGCAGAGAATCAAATATGAAGAATATGAGCACCCGAGACAATCTGTATGAATTCAAATCTTCCCTCTACAGATTCAAAATATGTGATCTCTAGCTAATAACTAAATCTCTTTGACCCAAAATTTCTACATCCTTAGAGTTCAACATCTCTAAATTCAGAGGCCAAAGTCATTATTAAATGTAGTAATGAATGTAAAGGGCTTAGCCCCATATTAAATTATCAAAAAAACTGGGCTTTAAAAAGATTAGCTATTGATACAAAAATACAAAATGCATAAGTTATATTTAGAAAAATACCCATTCCCTTAAAAATCAAAAGATAACCATGTCTACATTTTATTTATTTTTTTTTTAATTTTTTTTCAACGTTTATTTATTTTTGGGACAGAGAGAGACAGAGCATGAACGGGGGGAGGGGCAGAGAGGGAGACACAGAATCGGAAACAGGCTCCAAGCCATCAGCCCAGAGCCTGATGCGGGGCTCGAACTCTCGGACTGCGAGATCGTGACCTGGCTGAAGTCGGACGCTTAACCGACTGCGCCACCCAGGCGCCCCAACCATGTCTACATTTTAAAAAACTGATATTATATTTTCTAATTAGTCTTCTATCTATAAATGACCAAATTTTTATTGCAAGTTGGCTTTTCTGAGTCAGAAGAAATACTCACTAGTTTCTCTCTTGTACCTTCAACTTTATACATAAAGAAAAGTAAAGGAATCCTGAAAGCAAAATTTCCTAAGGAGTTTCTCTTGTATCTCTCAGCTTTATAGCTTAAAAATAACACATGAAGGAAAATTCATTTTATTCTTCCCTAAAGACATCAAAAGTTCAATTAAAAAACTAGAAATCACTCTGAAGCCTACTTCATTTCTTCTTCCCATGTCTTCTTAAACTTTGACACTGGAGTCCTGAGGTCGCACTACCAGGCTCACTCACCCACCTCTAAACTGACCTAACCGAGGCAGAATTTGTATAAATGGCTGCCACCATTTGCAAGATCACATAAGAACTGACAAGATTGCATATGTAGAAAATCACAAAAATACACACACACAGACAATCTGTTAGAACTAATAAAATAAATCAACAAAGTTGCAGTATACAAAATTCATATAAAAAATCATGTGTGTTTCCATACACTAACAATGAATAGTCCAGAAAAGAAATTAAGGAACAAACCTATTTACAATAGCACCAAAAAGAATAAAGTACCTAGGAATAAACTTAACCAAGGAGGTTAAGACTTGTACACTGAAAACTACAAAACATAGTTGAAAGAATTTAAAGAAGACACAAATAATGGGAAGACATCTCATGTTCGTGGATTGGAAGACTTAATATTGTTAAAATGTAATAATATATTAATGTCCATACTACTGAAAATGATCTATGGATTCAATACAATCTCTATCAAAATCCTAATGCCATATTCTTACAAAAATATTAAAGAAAGAATTCTAAAATTCATATTAACTCATAAAAGACCCTAAATAACCAAAGCAACCGTGAGAAAAAGAACAAAGCTGGAGGCCTCATACTTCCTGGTTTTAAAATACATTACAAAGCTACAGTAATCAAAACAGCATGGTACTAGCATAAAAACAGGTACATAGACCAATAGAACAGAATAGAGAGCCCAGAAATAAACCCACACCCTATGGTTAAATGATCTTTGTTAGGGGTTCCAGGACTACACAAGGGGAATACAACAGTCTCTTCAACAAACAGTGTTGGTAAAACTGGATATTCACATACAGAAAACTAAAATTGGACCCTTATCTTACACCATGGAAAATCAACATAAAATGGATTAAATACCTAAATGTATGACCAGAAATCATAAAATTCCTAGAAGAAAAGATAGGAAATACATCATTCATACACCAGCCACATACCACACATGAATCACACATACAGCACACAAATACACATAATATTCACACAAGACACATACCACACACACCACATATAAACAACACATATACAACAAACACCACAAATACAACACACATACCTATTGCATGCATCATACACAAACACCATTTGGAATACCACACATATCACACACATGAGACACACTCAGTACACACATACATACAAACACCATATTCACCCCACACATAAACAACAAATATGCAATCAACACACATACAACAAATCCACCACACCCATATCAACCAAATACCACACAATCATATCTCACATACATAAAAAAAAGTAGAACTCTTCATAACATTAGTCATCACAGTGATTTCCTTTAGTTGCGTAGACAACTAAAGCAAAAATAGACAAGTGGCATTATGTCACATTAAAATCATCCCACACAGCAAAGGAAGAAATCAATAGAGTAAAAAGGCAACCTATGGAATGGAAGGTAATATTTGCAAGCCATATACCTTAATAAGTGGTAATACCCAAAATATATTAGGAACTATTACAACTACATAGCAAAAAAACAAAACCAAACAAAACAAAAACCAAATATCTAATTTAAAAAAATGGACAAAAATCTCAAATAGGTACCTCTCCAAAGAAGACATACAAATAGTCAACAAACATGTGAAAAGTTGCTCAACATCAACAATCATCAAGGATATGCAAATTAAAATCACAATGATTAAAAAAAAACCAGAATGTTATAAATTTGGTGAGGAAGTGGAGGAAATAGAACCATGTGCACCGTTGATAGAATGTGAAATGGTGTGGTAACGATGGAAAACAATACAGAGAGGTTCTTCATAATTTTAAAAATAGAACTACTGTACGATCCAGCAATCCCACTTCTGGATATTTATCCAAAAGAGTCAAAATCAAAATCTCTAAGAGATATTTGCAATCCCATGTTCACTCCCACTGCAGCATTATTCACAACAGCCAAGGAATGGAAACAACCTCAATGTCCATGACTGAGGAATGAATAAAAAAATTGTGGTACATACATACAAGGGAATATTTTTCAGTCATTAAAGGAAGGAAATCCTGTCATATGCAACAACATGGGTGAACTTTGAAGATATCATGTGAAGTGAAATAAACTTTTTACAGAGGGGCAAATACTGCATGATTCTATTTATATGAAGCATCTAAACTATTCAAATTCATAGAGACAGAAAGTAGAATGCTGGTTTCCAGGGACAGAGGGAGGGTGAAATGGGGAATTACTGTCCAATGGTATACAGTTTCAGTAACACAAAGTGGAAAAAGTCCTAGAGATCTGCTGTACAACATTGTGCTTATCGATAACAGTTCTGTATCATAAGCTTAAAAATTCATTGAGCATCAATCTCATGTTATGTGATTTTTAAATCCCAATTAGAAAATACATCCAAATTTTAGAATGGATAAAGAGTTTTGACAACTTGTTAAGAGTGTAGTAACCTATTTTTTGCTTAATTTAGTGTAAATCAAGGACTCTCCATTAAACTGAGCTTCGATGACTTTAATACATATTATACAGATGTATTAAATATTTATGAAGGTGTGGGTACAAACAAGATTTTAAGAGGTAAGTTAAAACAAATATACAATCCATTATCAAAATGAAAATATGTAGTAAACTCTTTGAAGTGATGTGTTTTGACTTTGATTTTAAACTGAATATGGACTTGAAATTTAAGTTACTGAAAGGAAAAGGCAAAACTGGTTTTCATTATAAAAATGAACAATTTAGTTCCCTATGTGATCAATCTTCTTAGTAGTAAAATGGTTACTACTTCACATTACCCTCTTCTAACTATTTTTTAAAATAAGATGGAATTTTCCAAAGAAATATAATTGTGTCTTTGGCTACTATCTTTGTTTGTTTCTCCCCATTAAGCAAAATTCAGACAAACCTCGAAAATCATTGTTCTCATTTTCTCTAACATTGCATTGGTTATAAACTCACAGAATGTCTTCCTATTTTCAACATGCACTCTACTATTCAGTCTTTTGCAAGACTATTATGAATACAATGAGTAAAACAATGGCTACCCCAGGATGTAGGCTCATTAAATGATAGGTATAGGTGGTATTGTCCTTTCATAACCATTGTCATTGTATACATGGACAGTAATAGAAGCCGAATAGAGGGCGGGGAATTCACTAATATACATGTGCCCACTCTACTCTGTCTGGTCCAACCGTTATATGGGTAGAAAGACAAAAAGCTACTCTTGCTTCTATTATTGTGACCAAGATTTAGCCATTATTACTGTGGCATGAGCAATACCTGACAGAGCCAAATTTTTAGTTTTATAACTGCTTAGTTTGTGTGTTTCTTAGAGGAAATTTTTCAATAAAGGGATGCATCTTTTCTTTTTATGAGTATATAGTGTTGTGCAGCTAATAATTAAAAACAAAAATATAGCTTTTTCAAACCATAAATATGTATAATAATTTGAGGTTTTCTAACACTTAGGAGAAGAGACATTTCAATTAACCAATTAATCACTACTAGTGCTCATCATACTGAGTGGTATAATATAGATTGATGAATCAATTTTTGATAGAATAATAAATTGACGGATGGACAGAAGGATGGATGGATGGATGAACAGATCTATAAGTATATAATAGTCATTCATTTTTTTTTTTGTAGCTTCTCTCTGGGAAACCAATCCTGGCACAATTAGGGTCTTTTCCAATCAGGTTACTGCCACCTTCCTTATAGAATCTGATGAAAATGATTATATTGGATTTACTGTGACATATACTGCATTTAATAGCACAGAGCTTAATAGTAAGTATTGTTTATTATTTAGCCTTTGAATTTTAAGATGCTTTAATATTGTAATGGAATTTTAAAAGTAGCAGAATTTAAAGTTTTAGAACAATGTCATAATTTGTTTTATTATGCAGGTTCTTTAATGAGTATCTCATGTATAGCTCTCTCTCTTTGATACTTAGGAAAATTGAGAAATTAGAAAATAGTTCATGTTCTTCAAAAGAATCAAATAATCAATTCCAGAAAAATTACAGTTTCATATATGTATACACACACATATGCATAAAATTAATTCTTAGAATATTCCAGAATATTGACCAATATTCTGGGTAAACCAATAGAGATCAGATGTAAAATTAAAGAATACTAAGAAAAAGAAGCTTGCTTTGCTAAAGGCCTACTGGGATATAGGAAGCATATTAATTTAAGACAGTTGGCAACAAAAAGCTATTTTTTTCAACTAAATGGAATGAAACAGAATGAAGATGAATTAAAAAAGACTATGTGCATGACAATTATAGATATACAAGACTATATAAGACTAGATTATTTTTGATGCAATCGGTTACAATTAGTCACACTGTGGGCTAAATTTGAAGTATTTTCTTCCTCTTTTTTTAATTCACAGATTATGAGAAAATTAACTGTGATTTTGAAGATGGCTTTTGTTTCTGGGTCCAGGATCTAAATGATGATAACGAATGGGAAAGGATTCAGGGAAACACATTTCCTCCTTTTACTGGACCAAATTTCGACCATACTTTTGGCAATTGTTCAGGTATAATTCATATTTAATTCAAAATCAAAGGGAAGCTGGTGTTTTCTGCAGTTTAATGTGAACAGCATTAAATTAAAAATAGTCTTTTCAGATTTTCTTTTTTAAAAAAATCATGGACTAACAAATGTTTTGAAGTGAAAATGGTAATCAAATAGGCCAGCAAATGAGAATATTTCAAAAGATACATTATTTTACCCCGTATATGCATGAAATATGGAAAAGTACACAGAGGCTATTCCAGATAAGACTTAGGTTGTTGGGAGGAGCCAAGATGGCGAAACAGCATGGAAGTTTTTTGTGTATCTCGCGTCCATGAAATACAGCCAGACCAACACTAAACCGTCCTACACACCTAGAAAACTGATTGGAGGATTAACACAACAATCTGCACAACCTGAACCACAGAATTCAGCAGGTACGTGGTGTGGAGAGGTGAACTTGGGGACAGAAGCCGGCGGCAGGCAGGGAGCGGCGTTTGCAGGTGAAGAGAGGACAGAGACTGGGGGGAGGGGAGCATACGGGAAAAGCACCCTTCCCCAAAAGCAGCTGGAGAGAAAGTGGAAAATTGGAAACAACCACAGGGACTAAACTAAAAAGGGAGAAAGGAGAAAGGAGAGGGTTTAAATTCCATTAAGACTGTAAACAAGGGGAGCGCAAAGGTTGCAACTCCACAGCTCCATACCTGTAGGTGCTCGGGTGAAAAGGGCGAATCCCCAGGAGCAGAACGGGGTCCAGGGGGTTCTCGGACCACACGGAGAAAAGCGGTTCCATTGCTGGAAGGACATTTGGTGGAGAATGTTGAAGCCACCTGGTCCCAGCAGATCCCAAAAAACGGCCACATTCGCTGGTGCTGGAACAAGGTCTTTAAGGGTGAAGCCTGGTGCCAGATGTGTACTGTGATTTCCCATAATCCCTGAAATGCTGCTGCTAACACTATCGCTTGAAGTTTTTCTGGGCGGGCTGGCACCTGGCTGCAGTCTCGAGAAACCGGCAGTAGCAGGGTCCCGCAAGCGTTCCTGGGTGCAGCTGGCATTCAGCCATTGCTCGGTGAGACCCTCCCGCAGAGGGGCGGAAAGGGTCAAAGCCGCAGTCTTTCAGAAGGGGCCGGCGAAACAGCCACATCTGAGACAAAACTCGGCAGAGAGGTACGGCCTGGGGCTTGGTCACGGACAGTGAAGAAGCAGGGAGTGGATGAAACCTGAAGACAGAGGATGGGTGCGCAATTGCTGATCCGGGAGAACAGTTCCGTCACTAGAGACTGGATACTTGGGTGACACAAGTTTCACCTATCCCGCGCATGCGCATATGCATTTACCAGTGCGGCAACAATCCACCCCAGTAGGCTAGCAGCGCCATCTAGAGGAGAATGGAGCCATTACACTGAGCCCCACCCAACTGGACCAACCTCACTCTACTAGAACACAAGTCTCACCTCCTACTTAGTTTAAGGACTATAAAGTGGTACATAGTCTGACTTCTAGGGGAAAATGAAGTAATTCCAGTCCTATTTCAATCTGTTAGCAGGTCCTTCTATTCAATTTTCTTTCTTTGTTTTTTTCTTTTTTTTCTCTTTTACACTACTTTTTCTTGAATACAGAAAGAGAAAAAATTCATTTTTATTTTCAATTTTTATTAAAAATATTTTGCTTTAATTTTTTAAATGTATTTTTTACTTTTGTGTAAATGTTTTCAAATTCTATCTTACTTCCATCATTTTATTTTAGTCTACTTCAGTGTATTCACCTTTTCAAAATTTCAAACGATTTCCTTTTTTTTACTTTTTCTTTTTTCTCTTTTTCATTTCTTTTCTTTTTCGTGAATGCAAAGACAAAAACTTCATTTTTACTTTTGATTTCTATTAAAAATATTTTCTTTAATTTTTTTACTATTTTTTTGCCTATGCAATTTTTTTCAAATTATATTTTACTTCCATCATTTTATTTTAGTCTGCTACAGTGTATTCACTTTTTCAAATTTTCAAACGATTTTTTTCTCTTTTTCATTTATTTTCTTCTTCTTGAATACAGAAAGAGAAAAATTCATTTTTTATTTTTAATTTTTATTAAAAGTATTTTTCTTCAATTTTTTTCTACTATATTCTTTACTTTTGTGTAAATTTTTTCAAATTCTATTTTACTCCCATCATCTCATTTTAGTCTACTTCCGTGTATTCATTTCTTCAAATTCTCAATTTCCTTCCCCCACCTTTTTTTTCTCTAATCTGTCAAACCACTTTCAACACCCAGACCAAAACACACCTAGGATCTAGCATCATTTATTAGATGTGTGTGTATATGTGTGTTTTTAATTTTTTAATATT